AAAAAAAAAAAAAAAAAAACGAGAGCTGTAAAGAAAAAAAAGTTTTGTACGACTTTATTCTCGTAATTCTACGACTTTATTTTCATAATTTTATAACTTAATTTTTTTTCTTAGCATGGCAATTGTTTATTTTTCTTTTATTAGCGTGGCCCTAAAGCTCCATCGTATTAAATACTTTTACATACATACATGTTTAAGTTGTCCTCATTAAATGGCTGTTGTATGTTTTTATTTATTTGTTTTTAATTGTTTTTGTTTTTTAACTGGACTACCCAACAGCAGCACATGATGAATGTAAAATCTGACACACTTAAGTTTGTTGACTCAGTTGTTTTGTGTCATTTTGTCACTGTTCAGCTTTGACACGTTACAAGCTTGTTTAAGTTTGTATGCCAGTTAAAGTTTATTATCCATCTGTCTTTTTTGATTTATCTTGTTTTCTTTGCATATGGCATTCGAGTAACCTGACTAAGGAATGGTATTTATACATTTTTATGTGTGTGGTCGGTGAGTTCATAACTTCTATGTTTCTTGTTTTAGTTGATGCATTTCTTGCCTGAAACTTTTTTTTTTTTTTTTTCATATTTTTACAGAAAGGAAGATTTTGTTTCATGAAAACAAGCAAACAGGAAACACATTACTTTTTACTTTGACAAAATATTTATAGTTTTTAAATGCCAGTTGTTTTTATTTTCCCCACAGGTCCATTTTCAGATGTGGTCACCACGAATCTTAAGCTCTCCAACCCTACAGACAGGAATGTGTGTTTTAAGGTGAAGACGACGGCGCCGCGCCGGTACTGCGTGCGGCCAAACAGTGGCATCATCGATGCAGGCACCTCAATCAATGTCTCAGGTAAGGAATTAGGAACATGACTGAGGAGATTTTTATTTAGTTACCTATAAGCAGCTTTAACAAGTAGCTTCTGCTTTTTGATAGAACTGTTAAACAATATGCCAAAGTGAATGAAGTCATGAGAAATGTGTGTTCATTTTAAAATAATCACAACACCTCACCAAGTCAGCAGGAAGTTTTCACCCCACAGTGCAGTGAGTCGTATCAGGCTGTATTTCCACTAGAGAGACAGGTACAGTCTTTATGCTTCTATACTGTGCCACCCCTGCTGTTTACAACCCCCCTCAATCTATTGTCAACACTTTCCACTCTGTTACTGGTGCTGTCTGTCATCAGTGGGTGACAAACCAACCAAGTCCACTCAGTTGCTGTCATTGGTCACCCTTGTTAGGCTGATTTGGGTCACAGGTTTCAGACCCAGAACAGGATTGCTGTTCTGAGAATCTAGACATTGGATGTAGAGGCGTGCGTTGTCTGTAACCTGTTTGTTTTCATCAAGTCCTCAAGCTTCTGTGATGTTATCAAAGCATTGCAGTTGGAAGGATTAAGAATGACATGCGGCTTCTTGTATTGCAGGAAATGTATATTTACACATGCATATACTGAACACGCATGTTGTTGTTTTTTTAATTAAACTTTTTTATTAAGGAACAACACAAAAAAAGGTACAGGTATATGTTTCTTCAGTTTACATAGTATAGATACATCCTTTACAAATCTCTTTTATTTGCTGTATTAATCTATGCAGTTTACATCTTCGTATAATTACAGTATTCAACATCTGGTATCTAACATTCCTTTTTTTAATGTATATATATTTTTTAATATACCCCTGGACTTCTATTGTGCAATACTACTGACATTTCATACTCTCAGTCACCTTAACTACCTCACTAATATCCATAATGTGCAATATAATTGTGAAATACTTGTATTTTTTACTTTCATTATTATATCTATATTTCGTTGCATGTTTTATATTTTTAGTGTGTGTTTAGTGTGTGTTTTCTTAAGGCGTGTTTTTGCACCGGAAAAAGGAGTGGCTCTTAATTTCATTGTACTGCGTATAATGACAATAAAGGCATTCTGATTTTGATTCTGATTAATCAAACACAAGTAGAATTTAACAATTTATAACAACAATATTGAGTAGCTAAAGAACAGCGTGTGTCACTTAATTTTCATTTGTTGGTTTCGGCTCTAGTGTTCAAGAAAGTCCATCCTGGCTTCCAACAATCCTCAAATTTGTCCTTTTCTAGTCTCATTGCAAATGTAAGTTCCTCCATCTGACAAATATCTTGAATCACATTTATCCAGTCTTTTAGTGTGGGTGTTTTCTAAGTCATCCATTTCCGAGTGATTGCTTTTTTACTGGCAGTTAGCATAATATTCAGCATGTATTGTAAAACCCGTTTACACTGCCTGGTCGTTTGCCCAGAAACATAGTTTCTAAAATTAAGGGGATATTGCTCCCAATAACATTATCAATTGTTTTGCTTAATTTTACTCAAACACACCTGTTGTTCTGAGGAAATTTCATGCCCATTTAATATTTTACACATCTATGCTAGAGTTGCGTAAATGGTCTTGTATTTTTAGGTAGAAAATACACTTTTTGTAAGTATGAGAGAGTATTTGAACTCCCTAATAGTATCTCCTATTAGGTTTACATCTTTATCTTTAGGAGATTGTCAAAATGTTTTGGTTTGCAAGTCAACAGTGGGGTAACTGGTGATCATGTTTTTTTTTTTTAGTCATCAGGAAAAATCATCTTAAATTATAATCATTGCTATCTAAAACAGCTTGTCTTGTGGCCTGTGTGTTCTTACTGTAAACCAGATTAGTGTTGCTCTTTATAAACATCTTTAAACATCTTTAAAATGTTCAGGCTACCCACATTATTTTAATGTATTGTTGCTGCTGATAAAATGTATTAATTTAGCTACATTCAGTTCAGCTACTTAAATAGTTTTCTGATTTGAGTTGGTACTCATAAAATGTGAAAACCTGGCTTGGCCATATGGGGAACTGTTATATCTGCCAGACCACACTGGCAAATGTCCAGTCCATTAATAAGACAGAAAACACCTTCAAAAATGTGAATGACCTTTTGATTCTTAATACTAAACGTTCTTTATACTGTGAGATTACAAAATCTGTTTATAGTCCAAAATAGAAATATTGGGAGTTTGTCAATTTGAAGCTCTTGATGAGTAAAGAGTGAAAACAGTGGATTTACTCCTCATTTCTAACCCTTTTTTTTATTTAGAGGCTATAGACACTAGCTAAGTGCAGCTGGTCACTTATGTTGGTGCATAATCACCGAACTGTTGCTGCTAAAGCTTGTAGTGGGACGTTGATGCCTCAGTTTAATTAACAGCTTAGGAAAACTGCCCAATATGTGTCGTGAAGCCAGTTGTTTGAATTAACACACAAAAATGTTCCATAGTCACAGAGGGAGGTCACACATAAAGGAATGGTTTTACAGCTTTTCTAAAAGCAGTTTTGCCATTTTAGTTCAAGAACATACTACTGTGTTTGTTGAACATTAGTGCAAACATTACAGTAGTTAGTTTACATACAAATTAAAGTGATTTTCCTTCTGGTCTGAAGAGCTGCATCTGCTGAACAGTGTTCAAGCCTAGAAACGCATGGTTATGTTAACACTTTTACTAGAAGAACATTGTTTTGTGTAAAGATATTCTGAAAGAAATATGTATTCCCTAAAATAACAAATCAATCCTATTCTAATAAATGTAGTTTTGTCTTTGTCATTAATCTGCAGCTTTGCTTTCTAAACTGCGTGTAAGAAGCTCAAAAGCTTCAGACATCCTCTGGCATCACAGTGGGACAGAAGTGTCTGCCACGAGACACCTACTAACGCAGAACGTGCCGTTTGCTGGCTTATCAGGAGCTACATGTGGAGCTTTAGAAGCTCAGCTGTGCTGTAACTTTATATGTTTAATTTAACCAGGACTGGAAGAATGTTGTTAAACTCACTTGGTGTTAACAGCATCCAGTCACTAAAAAAAAAGTTTTCAAAATATCTCATATCCAGGAATATTGAACTTATTATAAAGTAATGTGAAGATTTGTTTAGCTATGTACAGCTCTGGGTTGTGTCAGTAACTTCATTAGCTCGTCCTTACACTCATTTCCTGTGCAGCTTTTGTTATGACTAGACAAGACGCTGATTCACTTGTCATAACTCAGGTCTGAGTCCATAGCAAGAAAATATTTCATATCAGAAGTCTCATGAATCTAAGCGTGTGTGATTTTTTTCTAATAATCAGAGGTCACGTTAGCTCTCTTACCCGTCAGTTAGATTCTCACAACAAAACCGACCTTTGAAGTGGTAGCAGATTCCTTCAAATGTGTGGTCGATTGAAGTGCCAGAGATTTCTCGTCCTGAAATGTGTAGTCTGTGATTTTATTTATTTTTTTCCTTTTCAACTTAATTGAGTAGGACAGACAGGGGAGTGCACAATCAGGAGAGCTAAAGCCTTCTACTCCGAGAAATCTGAATACGTTTTATGAGCGTTTGTTCTTGCATCCTGGTGAGTTTTCCCTCTAGGCCAATATTTTCCGCAGCTCTGCTAGACTAAACTCTCTATTTCAATCCGCCATTATATATTTTGTCTTTGTAGGTTAGCTGAGCTGTGACCAGACTTTTGTTTTGAATAAAACTGAACAAAGTTTCTGGAAAAACACCCAGTATTTGTATTGATTTCACTTATAGCTGAAATAAAGCTGAAATAACATACAATGAAACTAAATTTAACCCACAGAACCTTTTTGGAACCACTGTGTAAGCTGCTGCTATTCTCCTGTTCAGCATAAATGTTTTAAAGATTACAAAAACAAGACATTTGTTTATACCACCTATACAGGATAGGAGGTTTGCATACATGCATATAGCATTTTATTTAGTGATGCACAATATTATCGGCATGGTATTGGTATCGGCCAATATTAGCGATAAAGTTAAATATCGGACATCGGCCATTCCATCAAAATAAGTCACCGATATAAAAGGCTTCTGTTTGAAGTTATTTTTTTAATTTAAGAAACTGCCAAGTATATCTATTAATGCTCTACTACTTATGCGCTTTTCACTTGTCGCTTGTGCACAGGTTGAGTTTAGATTTGTGAAAATGTACAAATTTGCACCATTTGAGTGTTGGCATTGTGTTCGAGAGAGTAAATGTCATGAATACATTTGATGTTAAACATGATCCAAGTTGAAGTGTGCATCATTTTCAGCCCCCTTTTTGGCATCTGCATTTGGTAGCAGGCCAAATGGACAAAGACCGTGCAGAATAATGTATTTTAGTTCCACAACAGAGAAAGCTATGTAGCCTCTGTAAGTAGGTCTAGGGAAAAATATCTGTATTGGTATCGGTTATCGGCCAAATGAGTTTTAACATATTGGCATATCGGATATTGGCCAAAAATCCAATATCATGCATCCCTAATTTTATTGTCTTAGTTGCATGTTTTTAGCCGTATAAAACAAATTTATTTATAGGCAACTTTATGCAAGCCATCTTCTAAACAGTTTTTATACAGATGGAGGCCTGACCTCTCGATACAAAGTAGTAATTTTGTTGTGAGCATCTTTTTCCTCACAAAACAATTAATTAGTGACAGGAAAAGAAAGTTTACTTAATAATAATAATAATAATGTCATCACAATGTCAGCACTGTATGTTTCCATACAATGGCGAAATTAGTCTCTGCATTTAACCCATCCACCACCAGGTGGTGCAGTGGGCAGCTATTGAAAGCGCCCGGGGGGCATTTTGGGGGTGAGGCGTGCTGCCCAGAGACGCCACGTGATGTGCAGTGACTAGGGATCGAACCTGGGACTTTCGGGTCCCAAGCCGGCTGCCCTGCCTCTACACCATCTCGGCCCCCATATCGACTCCATTCATCATTACCACGTAGACTGGCATTGACCATTCAGTTTGACTGTGCTTACTATATTTGGCCTCTGTGAGTTTATTAAAAGAACTACTTCTAACATTAAGCAAGAATACTAAATCATGCCATTAGCAGAAGTAGCTCTTTTTAGAAGCATGTTCAAACGCAGTAGATGAAAGATGATTTGAATCACCTCTTCCCCTTTGATGAATGTGTTTTTCCATCTTAAGCTTTGGCTCAAGCCTTTTAACACCATTCAGTGTTGCTCTAAGAACTTCCACGCTTTCCTTCCTCCATGCTCCGGTGTTATCCCTGTGGACCCAAGCTGAATGGCTTTGCAAATTGGGACTGACTGAAACAGGACATTCTCAATCTGTTCATGCCGTCTGTTTCTGATTTGCAATATTGAGCCACACTGATTGCTGAAATGGTGCACAACACTCCTCCTGGGAGTATTGGCATGTGCCATATATGAAAGTCATACTGTAGGCTATGCCAGATTTGAATTTAGCCCATTTGTTTTCAGTGTAAGCCAAAAAAAAAAAAAAACGTAGACTTACTGGGACTGACTTCAAAATATGTCTTTCTATTTCATTCTGACCTAAAACCTGGAGGAAAATCATCAGCCGTTTATTGATCATATATTTCCAGCTTTTCAGACCCCATCAACAACAGAATCAAATAATCGTTGTAAATCATTGTTCCAGCATTAAAATATCGTACTGAAAGACAACAAGTAACTGAGACTGAGAGGACTGACAATGCAATTTGAAATAGTTCAGAGCCCACACCTGGTTTTTGTTAGTGCAGCTTGTAATGCTAGGAAAGAAAAAGGCCTGAAAGCTGGTTAAAAAAATGACTCCTTGGAGCATTTGGTGGTTCATCAGTGTATCATCCTAATGGTAGCACGAACATTAAAATAAATCATCTCCACTACGTTTTCAAATCAGTGCCCAGAGCCCTGAACTTAGAAAGGCACCGACCTACAGTTAGACAAAGGCATGTGCATGTAACACTTTATTAAATGATATGTCTTCTGTCATTTCTGCAGATGACGCCGACAAAACATTTTGTTCCAACCTACCTTTTGAAGAAAAAAATATATATTTCAGTCATTTGAAATCAAAAGAGAAGCAAAAATAAAAATGTGTATGTTGACAGCAACTGTATTTTTCTTTTGTCCTCAAATTATTTCGGAGTCACAGAACAAAGTTGCAAGTTATTTAAGCAGCTGCGTATTCTGTGGGCGTACAGTGTAGCTTTACTTTTGCAACACCAATAAAAATGAGAGTACGTAAAACGTTCGAGAAGTTGTTTTGAAATCTGGATGATGAGTGTCACTGTTGTCCCCTTGTGTTTTAGTTATGCTGCAGCCTTTTGACTACGATCCAAATGAAAAAAGCAAGCATAAGTTTATGGTCCAGTCCATGATAGCGCCTCCTGACATGACCGACATGGAAGGAGTGGTGAGTCTTTCATCTTTGGCTATTTGTTTTTCTGTGTCAGATGGTGCATATTTTACTTGGAAACAATGGTGTAATGGTGATTTCTTTTGCAGAATGAATCAACATGTATTGAATTTTAATATAAAGAGAACAAAGCAGTGTTTTTGCTTTATCCAGCCTTCATCTACATCAGAGAGCTGTCATACAATAAAAAGCTAATTTAGCGCAGTCTGTGCAGTCTGATAGTAATCTGTGTGATGCTCATAAATGCACACACAATAAATCATATTTCACCCTGAAAGATGGTTTTCAATGAGACGATGTACTGAGGGGAAAAAATGAACTCCATTATATATCGAACAGATGAGTGATTTCAAAATGTCCCAAGCAAAGCACATGTTTTCGACTTGGTTGTAAAGGAAGTGTAACATAAATATTCTGAAGTCCTCCTGGTAGTAAATGTGTCATTATTTTATACTACATAGAGTCAAAAATGGCAAACAGAATATATCTTTTTGATAATATTTACGTGAAAGTTGAATAAAAGCAGAGTTATTATTTAAAATGGCAAAAAAAATTATGAGAATGTAAAAAAAATTGCAGCCAAACTTAGCAAAATCAAAACATTCGATGCCTACCGGTAATTACAACAGAAGTATAATCCCATTTGCTGTACGACTTTGTTTAGAGGATTTTCAAAACGTTAAGCTTTTCAATCATTTTATGCTGCAGGAAGTTTATAAAATGTTTGACCCCTCAGAGGTTTTCAAACTTAAACACATTCTGTAAAATAATAACACTGTGATTGTGTTATATAAATACATAATGCATATCTGATTATTATTTAAACTTTACTTTTTTGGCATCTCTAAATCCACTGAAACCAAACTTTGACTGGACAAACTGGCAAGTTCACATGAATATAAACGGAGACTAAAAATGATGGATGCAGTCTTCAAGTTTCAAAAGACAAATTTAAATTTGCTCTCACCCTATTTTTATTTGCCAGGAAAAATGAAATTCATGTGTGATAATAATCCTCTTTCCTGCTTTAGAAACTCTCAGTTCTTCTGTGTAAGTGCTGTCATTTTAGACACTAAAGCTGCTTTATTTTATCACCAACTAGTTAATGATACTCTAAAGTGTTTGCTTCTCTCCAGTAAAGGACAAACTTCATGAAGTAGAAACATCACTCCTTAAAGTACCAATGCAAAATTAGTCATAAATCATTAAATGCAAGATTTATGGTTTATTTTGAACAAAAAGCTTATGGAAATAATCTTGAAAGTCCAAAATTGATGGTTTGAGTCTATTTATATATTACCTGGTATAAATATAAATTCAGTATCTCTTTAGAACAGAGGTTACATAATTTTAAACGATAATATTTCTCATAATTTGTAGGGATGCACGATATTATTGGCATGGTATCGGTATTGACCGATATTAGCGATAAACATAAATATTGGACATCGACCATTCCATCAAAATAACTCATTGATATAAAAGGTGCTGTTTTTTTATAGTGTATATATTTATATAGTGTTGCATCATTTTCGGCCAAAAATCCAATATCGTGCGCCTCTATTTGGTTTGTTTATTTTTAAAATATGAGTAAAGTTTGGACGCACATGCTCATTAGGTATGTCTAAATGTTTAGTTACTTTTTCATGTTATTGACAAACAATAATTCCCAGAAAACCATTTAAATACACCACTCACATGAGTAAAATCTATATGTAGAACCTAAACTATTTACTTTCTGTTTTTCCTTTAAGTGCAGTCATCTGCCAGTTATGTTGCTCCACCCTGTTTAGTGATTTGGTACTTGTCAATTGTTTAATTAGCCCAAACTGTAGAAGGTGTATTGTTCTGATGTACTGTTTTGTAAGTTTCATATAGCCTTCTCGAAACGTGTTCTGATGTTCATATTTTTTTGCTTTTCTCTCCAGTGGAAGGAGGCAAAGCCAGAGGATCTGATGGATTCAAAGCTGAGGTGTGTTTTTGACGTGCAACTGGAGAATGAAAAATCGGTGAGTTCACAGGCTTTTACCTTATTTTGCCTGTTGTTAGAGTTACTACATAGATTAGACATCAAAGAGATGGTCTGACAATTGTTTTGCTTTGTAATATTTACCCGTCTACTGATTTTAGCCAAAAATCACACACACAATAAAATAGCCTTTTCTTACTTCAAATATTTTCTCTGTTATGTTTCCAAACTGTAAATATACTACGTTAAAAGGGATGGCTTTCCCCTTTTCATTTATTATTCTAAATTCTTTCACCTCCCCTCTCTTCTGCTGCCATTACCAGTTTTTGCAATGAGCCTCACATTCAGTTTATTATTGTTGTGGTTCCTCTCAGTCCACTTCTGCTTCAGTGACGATATTTGTCATAAAGGTTTTGTCTGCTGGCTTTTTGAACATGAGAGCAAAAACAACCTCTGGTAGCTGTGTGCCACAGCAGTACGTCAAACACAGATAAGGCTGATAGAAACCAGCTTTATCCGATTATGAAAGGAGTGAACTTTCCCACAAAGATGTGTGTGTCTCTGTACTCCCATGTGAAAATGGTGTCTTTGAATGTAAATAAAAAGTTGCACCTGTGTGCCAGGCTTGAAACTTGTTGTCCAGCGCCATCAAATAAATGTTTCAGCAGCAGCAACCCACTCATCACTTTAAATCTTGTCCTGATTTAAACCATTTACAGCACGACATGGAGTCCAACAAGTCGTCAGCCAGCTTGCTGAAGTCCGAGTCCTCCACGCTGTCTTCGAAATCGCTGAGCTCCACCCTGGACGACGGCGAAGTAAAAAAGATCATGGAGGAGTGCAAGAGGCTGCAGATGGAGGCTCAGAGGCTACGGGAAGAAAACAAACAAATTAGAGTGAGTAAGATGGTTTGAAATTGTTTTGTGCATCAAAAGTACAACTTAGAAACATTATTTTTAAAAACACAGTTTTGTCTGATGTACAGTAGCTACATTGGAATTGGAATACTGTATATATAGTTCATTGCATGGTTATATTTTTTATATTTCTTCATCGTGACAGGTTTAAGAACTATCAGTCAGCAACCCTTTCAAAGCTGAGAATCTTGCTCATTTGATTGTTTTATTTTATTTACGCAATACTTTTGTTTTTCTTATTTTTCACGCATTCAAATGTAGCTATTTAGCTAAACAACTCTTTTTTTTTTTCTTCCTTTAAACTGCTTTTCAAACTACTAATATTAAAAATCACGCATTTGTTTGTTTATAAAACTACTTAAATAACTAACAAGTAGGGCTGGATGATACGGCCAAAACTTTTATCACAATATATTTCTTAATTTCGGTCGATAACTATATAATTCGATATCGATATAAACAATATAAAAGCCTCAGAAAAACTGTACAAATAAATTCATCTTCGCTTTTATTTGTATTTAGCCTTGAAAAAAATTTGAAATCATCGTCCAGTAAACATAAAACTCTCAACGTTGTCAATATTAATAGTTTTAACTTTAAACAACAACATAACCATGCAGCGAACATCTGCGTTTACTGCTTGGGTTTCTCATTTGGTACAGATGGGGGTGGTGTTTCAGAGACACGCTGGCTCAAACTTTTCTTGTGCTTCATCTTCTGACTCTCAGCACATTCTATCGAGTGGAACAATTTAGATGTGCTCCCACCGCTAGTTGGAACGACTCTCCATCACATTTTGCAGGACACTGAAACCTGCAGTTTATCCGATGTTAGATAGCCTAACCAGTTCCACTCTGCCGAATTAGTCTTTCCTCTCTTATCAGTTGTGTCATCTGCTTTCTCTTCGCTTGTGAAAGCTTGTTCAGTCACATTCTGACAGTCATGGGCACTCATTTTGAAGCGAAAACTTAACACGCGTTGGAGATTAGCCTAGCCTAGCATAGCCTAGCCTAGCCTGATATGCTTTCTGGACTCGAGCGCTGTGTAACATCTACTTCACTACGCACTTACGTAATTGCGTCACACCTTTTTCTGTCTGGGTTGAAATTGAAGCGTCCGCTTCAACCCGAACAAAAAAAGAAATGCATCAGTGAAACACTGTAATCATAGAAATATCAAAAATGTGCTTAAAACTCATATCACCATTATTGAATAAAAGTATTTCGTGACATATATCGAATTATTGTCCAGCCCTACTAACAAGCAGTCCAAAACTGCATCCTTGTGTCAAGGCTGAGTCTAGAAAAGTCCTTGATTCAATAGGTCAAAAGATCAGAAGTAGTTACTCCTAAATTAGGCAAAACCTTAAATTTTGATTAAAATTAAAAAAAAACTGTTGTGAAAAATACAATACTCAACTAAAGTCTTGATCCGCCTGTCAGCTTTTTAGTTTTTTTTTCTTTCTTGGAAATCAAGAACCGGAACTGCAACGATTGATTGAAAATTGTGCAAACGTACAGCGAGATACAGTGTTCAAGGCATAAAACATTGTTTATACTAAGGAGCTGTAAAATCAGTTGTTGTTCATTTCAACACAGACAATACTGTTTCTTGTATCGGTTTCAGAATTAGTTCTTTGTGATTCTTGAAATACTTTTCTGAGTGTATCTTCTAGATGTTGGCTGCTCTGTTCTCTAAGACAGTTCCTCTCTGACTCTGTAATTTCAGGTCCAGGATTTGGACATGCCAGTAGTTAAGTCTTATGTAACCTGGCACACCTCAACCATTTGCCCTGTTTTTACTCTTTAAGTATGGCGCTTTGATGACTACTTTTGTTAGCAGACAATGAATCAGCTGAAGGGCATTCATAGTAAAACGTCATTTTATTTTTCATTATTATATTTTACACTGATTGATATTTACACACTATGAGGTGTTGTTCGGTCACAGAAGGCAGAGCCGTCCACCCTTCGACAGCTGCTTCAGGTTTGCACTGAGTAATTTGAATCCAAGACTTTAATCAGAACTATCAATGACGTATGGTTTAAAGTTTGGGTTTGTAAAAGTTTGGTTGGTTACGAGTCACGCTCCTGCTCCTCTGGCAGCCATAAAAGAGTTGACCTCCCCTCAAACATCACCACCTCCTCCCCTTTTAGTTCTTGCCAGAGGCTGAACGGTTGTTGGCTGCTCCTGCGGCTGAGATTAAACTAACACCCGCTGCTGGGAAACGAAGTGTGTTCAAGCCTGGCGCCTTCTGCGCTCCTCGGGGAATTAGGGCAGATGAAGATTTAAACAGATCCAGTTTCTTTGAGCTAATAAATACGGTTCTATCAAATTGATTGACAAACTGGCCATTTTTTTAACCTCTTGTGACGAATTTTGTTCCTCGTATCCGTTTATTTCTTTACTTTCCTACCACATCCTCATCCCACGCATTTCTCTGATCTTTTATTTTGTTGATTTTACTTTTTTTTTTTTTGGTTTGTTTGACAGGGGGATGATGGTGTGAGGATGAGGAAGAGTAACATCATGTCATCCCAGCATGCCTCAGTTGCCATGAAGAAAGAGGACGGGCTGAGCGCCCGCTCGTTGGCCCTCATCGTGCTCTTCTTCCTCGTCGGCGTCGTGGTGGGCAAGTTGGTCTTGTAGAGCGCAGCGGAGGGGTCGGCTGCAGCATGCTTTCGGTGGATGAAAACACAGGATGTGGGATTTTTGATCAAAATGCCATATCTGCTGGGTGGGAGGGGTTACTAGTTTTGATTCAGCCCCATTTATGTAAAAAGTCAAATCAAATGGTAATTTATGAGAGAAAAGAGGAAAAAATGACTCGTCATCCTATGAACAACAACAACTGTTACAGGTCTGTAATCATCACATCATCATTCTGCCCCCCA